AACGAAGCAGAAGGGGAGAACCGAGGCCGTCCAAGCCCTTCTGTAGTTCCCAAAGGAGTTGTCCTACCTGCTCCTGGTGCAAAGGAGCTGCCCCATGAGCCCCTTGTGGCATCTCCCGGAGTGGCCTCTGCCCAGACCTGTGGGAGGCAGCTGGGGGGATGCAGGGAAGACCAAGCCTCGTGAGTCCGGAGGCTTCTCCTTGAGGCTGCTGCTTGGAAAGCAGAAGGCTAGCATCAAAATCGGCGTTCACCCTGGCTATTTCTTCCCTGTTAGTCAAAAGAAATAAATTACTGTCAAAAGAGTTCTATACACAGTCCAGACAAGCTTGTTTTCCCAGCAAAAAAACCATCTGTGTCTGGTTTGGCTGCCCCAAGCCACCCTTGAGAAGGTGTCCACCAAAGGCCTGAGGAATTCAGAGTGGCTTCTGTGAGAAGGAGATGATGCTGACGCGGGCTGGGGAGGAAGGTCCTGCTCCCCTGCTCTCCGGCAAAGCCTCTTCATGTTGAGCTGCAGGTGAACCACTCTTCTAGGAGAACCTAAGGAGAGACACAGGGTCAGCGCTGAGCCTCTTCTCGGCACCGTCCGACAACCCCCCTTCACTCCCGCACTCACATTAGCGCCCTCGTTTCTATGCAGGTACCTGCGTATAAAAGAAAATTAAAAGCAGCCCCCTTGTTGACGCCTCTGGTTCGTTGCCCCCTGCTCCCAGGTGCATTCCCATGCCAAGCAGCTGTGGAACACGGGCTCCGTTCAAAGGCATTCCTCGGGGCTAAGTGGACACAGCTGAGACTCGGAAAGCCGCTCTCCTTGCGGGGATCATAAACCAGCAGGCGTTTCCATGCTTGCGAGGGCAGGCTCTGTAATTTTATCTCTATTTTAATGCTAACTAATCCTGACTAGTGCTGAGAGCTGCGGAGAGGAGCCCCGCTCCCCGGGGCAGGTTCAGCGTTGAAGTCTTCACTCTTCAAGCGGGAGGTGAAAGCTTTTGCTGAGGAACATCAGGCTGCAAAAGGCCTTTTCTGGCAGTGATATTAATGGCAGCCCTGACCTGCAGCACAATATGTGCCAGGTGCTCCCACGAGCATGGACATGGGGATGCTCAAGAGCACGTGGATCTCCTTGCAAGGACAGAGGTGGCTGTGATGCCGCCTCTTGGTGCACACGGCCGTTGAGATGTCCCCTGGTCTCTAGGGCCCGGGCACCGCCACCGCCTCGGGGTGAGCCTGGTCTGACATCCAGAGCTCCGTCCGGACTCTCCAGCAGCTCCACGTCCCTCCCATCCTGCGGAGCCCAGCACTGCACACAGTCTCCACATTTGTTTTAGATGCATTTCCTAAATATCGGAGCTCCTTTTACACCCTGGTGCCGTGCACTATGACGGAGCGCAACAAGGCATAGCTATGAATGCTATTTAAGCGATACAGCTTATATAAATGCTAGGAAAAGGAGCCATTCACCTCACAAAGCAGACTCCAACCAAGAGCAGCAGTCCCCAAAGGGAAGATTTACCCAAGGTCTTTCCGGATAGCCACAAGGGCAACACAAGAACGACAAGAAATCCAGGGAGACAAACGAAGGGCAGGGAAAATCACCCCTTCCAACACCAACAATCTTCCCCCTGGTAATTTAACAGGCTAACCTCAATTTCTCCTCCAGCAGGAACAGAAACCACCTTAATGCACCCAAGGCCGTCCTGAAAACCGTGCTCTCGGCGGACTTCAAACACGAGTTTTCTTGCCCGAGGGCTCAATCCCTCCTTCCCCGGCTGGTGTCTCCTGGTTAACAAGGCCAGAGCCACAGCCAGCTCTTCCAGCAGCCTTTGATATTTAAGAGGCTACGTTCCGGTGGCCACCAGCGTGCCCGCGCTCTCAGCGCCCATTAGCTGCTTTGCATTATAAAACTACCGCTGCATTGCAAGCGCTGGCTTAATTCACTTAACGGGGGGCAAACGTGGCCTTTCTAGCTGCTCAACTGCTTCCCATGGGCAGCTCCCTCTTTGTGTTCTCCGCTTTGCAAATTCTCCTCCCTCGTTATTTCCCTGCTATTTCCCTTATTATTATGCCCTTATTATTATTATTCCCTTATTATTATTCCCTTATTATTATTATTCCCTTATTATTATTATTCCATTATTATTATTATTCCCTTATTATGTCCCTGTTATTTCCCTGCCCACCTGGGAGCTGTTAATTGGTACCTGAGTACCCTGCACGTTGGCACCAAGCGGATTATTCTCTATGCAGCCAAATGATGCGTTGCCTGAAGGCAAGCTCCAGAACCACCAGGGATGAATATCAACCAGTGATAATAACCGCACTGCCCTTACAGGACATGCAGAATTCCGCTTTTCACTGGGCAGAGCGAGGTGTTGAGGATGGTTAAAGGTCTCTAATATTTGCTTCCCGTGGGAGCAGATTTCCCACCAAGCACAGAAAGTCCCACGGGTAAATGGCCACATTCAGGGCTGCACATCTGTGTGACTAAGATAACTCATCTGCTCGATGAAAACCCACCACCCGACAGTGGAAACCAGCCATGGATTTGGGGGAGATGAAGGGAAAAGGTGTTTAATCCAAAAACTCCAGCTGACACCCCCAAGGCCAAAATGCCTCTAGTTGTGCGTGAACATTGGCTTGCAGTCCTTCAACATCAACTTTCCTAGGACTAAAAGGGAAAATGCAGGAGGCAGCGGTGGTTTAAACAGCGTTGATGCGGCGTTTCTGAAAAGTGAAACTTGGGCTATTTGGGAGGCCTGAGCTTTTGCACCGTGTAAGACATTTTAGCAACGTCCATACAAAAAAGCAGGAATTTAAAAGTGTCATATGCTTAAATTAAGTATCACTAAACATATTCAACATCTTTACCTTCCCATCTGCCCCTACATCTGCAGTTCTGGCCTAAAACTTAAAGCTCCTAAGTGGCAACACACAAAGGGCTCGTGCAATGGCAGTAAACGCATCCCCTGCCGCATTCGTGCCATTTTTCAGGAATTCAAGCAATTTAGTTGTTTCAGAAAGCCCCATTTTCTCCTTTCCCTTCCCTCTGTCCTTTTGAAATGTGAAACCCGAGCGGAAAGCAGACTTTTCTTTCGCAATATGACTTCCTAAGGACGTATCCTAAGGGTGAGGGTGAGGGGAGCCTTCCTCCCTCCTCGGGCTGTGCCCACTGCTCCAAGCACAGGGTACGGCAACCTGTTCCAGCAGGGATTTAACTTTAACATGGTTGAAACTGCCTTGTCTTATAAATATACCGCTCGTCACTGCAGAAAAAAACATTACTTGGAACCAGGCTCCCTCACGGACTTTGGATTATGATGATTTGATGAAAAAGGGCCATAATATCACTTTGACCACCTCATCTGGGCTAACCCTGCTGTTACGGCTATGGCTCGGAGTTAAACCACAACTTCGGTTTTTCTGCTGATTTTTCTGCTGATTTTTCTGCCCTGAATGGTGATTTTGATAGGAACAGCCAAGACGAGAAATGGGCACACAAGGAGGGTGGACAAGACGGGCCCCAAATGATGGCAGAAAATAAGAAGAAAAGAGTCTTCTGTGTTTCTCTGATATTCAAGTGTGGCTGTTGGTGGTGGGTCTAAGAAAAATAGCATAGTCCTTTTTTTATTTGGCTCTCCTAGCCAAATAATAGTCTCTAATAAAAATAATAGTCTCTGATCCGCAGCCAGCTGCAGCGTCTAAGTGACACCAGACAAGGATTAATGACACTGTTCCCAAGGAAAGCCTGGATCTTTTCTCGGGGGCAATGGGACCTGGGATGCTGGACTGTCTCGTGGGATCCAATGGGATGCGGTGGGGATCCCACGGGGATCATCCGTGGGGATGATGCTGGTGGAGTGCAAGGTGAGCCAAGGACCTGCCGCCCAGCTGGCAAGGGAGAGCAGCGAGAGCAGAGGACAGGGGCACCCAGCTCTACTAAACCTCGATTAAGGAAGGGCTAAGAGCAGGACTAATTGTGCTAACACGGGGACGGATCACCCACAGCCACCACTGGGCTGGGGTTGGGGGGAGCTGATGGTGCAGCAATTTGGATGCCTCGCCGGAGTTTCCCATGGACCATGCCCTGGGACATCCTTGGAATTTTGCTGTTCCTCACCAGCAGCTCCGGGAAATTTTCACTCCTAGCTGAAGAGGGGATGGGCTTCGCTCTCACCATCTTCTATTCTCACCTGGTTTTTTTCTTTTCCCTAGCACCAAAAGCTATAAATACCAAAAACAGTGATATTCTCCTCTCCTTTCAGTGCCTGAAAGGATGTTTTGGATCATTGCTGAATGGGGCACAGTGGAATACCCTGGCAAAACTCACTGCCCCGGCAGCCTCCTTGGAAGTTTCATTCCCTGCCCTTAGGGCAGCGCAGGATATCCATGGGTTGGGGAGGGATTACAGTTCCTATCTTATCCGTAGTGTTTTAGGAGAGGACTAGGACAAAGCTCGATGGGCTGGAGTCCCCAGGAGCAAGGAGCTAAGGAAAGTCCCCTTAGCAAGGAGCTAAGGAAATTGCTCCAGAGTCGAGGCTCTAGGTGCATGAGGAGCAGCAGCAGCGGGGTGATTGCTGCAGGACCGGGGCCGCTCCTGCTCGCGCAGCTTTGACACCCCCGCAGCCCCAGCACGTTCCGGAAGGTGCATCCTGATTTACGCCCCTCGGGAGGATAAATCACATCTGCAAAGCCGCGTTTTAAACCTGTCGCTAGCCCGCCCCGGAGCAGACTCCCGCTAAGAGGGAGCAGGGTCTTTAGGGCTCTGCTACTCGGCCACCAAGCGCAGCAGGACTCTGCTAGTGAAGGCAGCGGGACCAGCTTGGGACGCGGCTCCCTCATCCCAACGCCGGCCTTGACGGCGCCTGGGCTTTGTTAAACCGAATCACTCCCGCATGGAGCACGAGCAGGGACGTAGGGTATTTCCCCCCGGGGGAAGCTACTGGTGCAGCTGGGGAGGTTTCGGGGGGCCGCGGGAGCGCGGGACGAGGCCGTACATACCCCGGCTCAGTGGGATGCCGACATGGACCAAGCCCCTTCCATCCTCCAGACGGAGAAGGCGTAGCTGAGCCTCTCGTGGGCCAGGTAGTTGCAGCTGGCGACCTTGTGGTCCAGCTCGTCGCTCTGCAGCACCTGGTACAAGAAGTCTATGTAGCGCGCCGCCAGCTTGAGCGTCTGGATCTTGCTCAGCTTGTCGGAGGGCAGCGTGGGGATGATCTTGCGCAGCTCCGCGAAGGCGTCGTTGAGCGACTGGGTGCGCTGCCTCTCGCGCACGTTGGCGATCACCCGCTGCGTGTGCGCGTCCTCGAAGGAGTGCGGCGCGGGGCTCCGCTTGCTCCGCTTGCCCTGCGGGGACGGGGCGCCGGCGCACGCCTGGCCGCGCTTGCGCGGGCATTTCTTGCGCCCTCGCTCGCCTTCCTCCTCGCTGCTGGCCGCGCTGCCCTCGGGGGAATCCGGGCACGTGCTTTCCTCCTTCATCTTCTCAGCGGCCAGCGCCTGCGCCCCCGGGAGCCCCTTCCACCTTGCAGGAGAAGGGTCCGTGGGTCTCAGGGGGCACGAGGGCCACGGCGCATCTGCAAGGCGGGATGAAGGGCGGATTGCCCGGATTGCCCACCGCTCAGCCTTCCCAAACCCCTCAAGCCTGGCGGAGCCCTCCCAAGCTCCAAGTTGCTCCGTTGGTTTCTCCTTTGGGCTACGGAGAGGAGGGCGTCTGAGTAACTTGGGGGAAACGTCTCTTGCTGATAGGGTGAGGAAGGCTGGGGGCGGACCGGGCGCAGACCAATGCGACAGTGCAAGGTAGCGCAAACATCAGTGGAGCTTATGGGTTCCAGATTTCCTCCCTCCCTCCTCCACCAGCTTCCCCAAGCCCTCCGGCACAGATGCTCCTGTCTGCTGCCCGCATGGCGGGGGACATTGCCTACGCTGATGTGGGCATCAGCCATGGAGTTCAAGGAAGATTTGGGTTTTTTAATTGTGTTTTTTTTTTAAGCCCAGTTGACCCTGCAGAAGCCAGCCAGAAATGTTTGTTCGTCCAGTTCGGAAGAGAAGCCTTTTATTCACAACGGATGCAAGAAATACGGAGGAATGGATGTTTCGGCGAGCAACAGAGGGCATTCTCCGAATCCAAAGGAAGAGGAAGAGCCGTGATACTCATATTGTTCTTAAGAGATGGAATAATTGAGAGTGAATCTCACTTTGCGTTCATCTCTTCATCCATCCCTCCATCGTTCTGTCTATATTTCCAGAACCCAACGTGCTGCTACGGTTCTGGTTATGAAGGTGTAGCTGACACTCATCCACCGTAACGTTTAATAAATAATAATAAATAAATATAGAATAATAAATAAATAATAACCTGGGACAAGATACTGTGGTTTTCTTCAAGACACAGCTCCAAGAAATGAGCAAAAAGAAAAGAAAACTGCAAAAACCTGCATGGAGCACCCTGGTTTTCCCGGAGGGGTAGGATATGCGGTGGACTCCTCTCTGAGCACCGACCTCTTCTGATGGATGCATGGCCGCTCCTGTCCTTTACACGGCAGAGGTATTTGCCCATGTCGAGGGTTTGTGCAGCTCCCTTTGCTGCAAATTCCTCGCAGAACTTGGGGCATCTGGCAGTTTTGCTGCATCTGGCAGTATTAGCACTGCCAGGCCAGGCTCAGATGCCAGTGACGTTCTGCTCCCACCAATACCCAATACCTGGTGTATCTGGCACCACCAACATCCAGTATACCAAAAGTAATAAATTTCTCATCACCTTAGAAAATCAGGGACTAAGTGACTAAAGAACCAAATTCAGGCTGAGGTTTAAGCGGAATTTAGACCATGACTTTTAGGGAGTGATTCACAACTGCTGCAAAACAGGTCTACCAAATAGGAAAGACCTGGAGCTGGTTGGTGTCTGTGTCTGGGATCTTCCAGACATTTGGTGTGAGCATCCCAGACCCCCAGGAGCTCTGAGGCATGCCAGCACCCACTGATATCCTAGCGGGAATGTTTCAGGGAGACCTGACGCCTCTTGCTGCAGCATCGAGGTCCTTCACACTTCGGAAATGAGCTTTATGCAAAGTGTCCTCAGAGACACCTCCCAGCACCAGGCCCAGCTCTGGTGGTTGCTTCTGGTTGTGTTCATGGAGGAAGGAGGAGAAGACAATGTGAAAATGTGAAGTCTAATGGTTAAAGCACACAGCCAGGAAGAGAATCTGAGTCCTGCGCTCCCTGCGGGACCACAGACACGGAGAAGTTGGCGAGGTCACAGATTGAGCTGAGCCCACCACGGAGAAAGAAAGGCAAGATCTATAGGACCCCTGGGGCAAGGCAAAACTTGTGGGAATTTGTAACTTGCTGAGTTCAACCCCATACTTTTTCAGGGCCTGTGTCATAAATCCCTTGGAGAAGGCACTCTGCTGCCTCTTGGAAGTGGTTTGGCTTCCTTGCCCATTGCTGTTCTCCAGCTATTGCACACGCAGAGCATGTTATTCGTTCAGAACCTGCTCCTGGCGAGATCTCAGTTCAGCCTCTTCCACTTCGAGACTCCTACCTCTAAATGAAACCTCTTTATCTTCCCTGCTACGTCGCGTAAGAGTAGACATCGTTCTCACGGTTGGGCGTTCTCTCGACTGAATAAACCAAGTCCATGAACCTTCCTTGCATATGAAGCCATCAGTGCAGCACTGACTAGGATCCCTCCCAGATTTCCACAGAAATGTCGTGCCGGCCTCCAGGCTGGACATGCAAGGCAAACTCATCTCCGCATGCTTGGCAAAGAGGTTTGCAAATGGAGACAGCGTCGCTCAAGAAGGTCATAGGCTTGGAACAGAAATCCATGAAGCTGTTCTATAAATGGATGGGAAATTTAGAGGCAGAAGAGTCTCCTGCCAGGCTTCTCTGGAGCAAATCCTCGTGAAAACCTCCTCCCTTTCTCCTCCCATCCCACACAAGCAGAGCTAGTGCAGCTGGAATGAGCCCAATCCCGCTCCAACCAGTCTGCCAAAAGTCCCGCTTGAAGCACTGATGGATGGGTGCATTGCATGAGACACTCCAAGTGTCAAAGAGCCTGCAGGAAGGTGGCACGATCCTACTTGAATTTAGACATTTTTGTTCAAAAGCTGCAGTCTGGGAGGTGCCTTTGCTTTCAGATGGCGTTGAGGGCGGGAGAACTCTCTTTTCCTTTTTTTCTGAGGAGGTGGAAAAGTTGCGGAGGGGATTTATTCCCATTTTCTAGTGAAAACTAGAGCCCTTTCAAGTATGAACTTCTCCTCCTGAAACTACACTCACCCAGGCTCTCTTCACACATTTTTTTTTTTTTTTTTTGCCCATACACATATCTTTGTTTTAAGGAAATATAAGTGCATTTTCACATTTTCCCACAAGTTTCTCTCAAGCAACCTCAGCCCTGGAAGCCCAAGCAGAACTGCAACCACCATGGGACATCTCAGCCCCTGTCCCAAGGAGACCTGAGCGATGGACAGAGGGACAGTTTTGGATTTGAGAGACCTTGACTCATCCTTGCCTATCTTGCCCTTGTGCCAAGTCTTTAGGGATGGCAGTAGGATGGATAGTAGATAGATGGATAGTAGGATGGATAGTAGATGGATAAAGGTTAGTAGAGAGCCAAACCTTGAAAAAAAAAAGTCTGATTTTTACTTAAAAAGAAGATGATTAGAAATGAGTTGATGTTGATACTTGATGGGATGGAGCCTGGTGACTTTGCTCCTTTCTCCCCATCGAAGCAAACGCTGCCAGCAGGGTGCTGCTCAGAACATTACTCACACGCGGACGTTGGCAAGGACAGCAACGAAGATCAGATGTTTATAACGCAGAAACACAATAGATCACAGGGGCCTGGGAAAGCGAGCGAAAACAAAGGGGGAGAAAAAAATACCCCAGGGATGGCAGAATTTAGGCAGAATCCAGGGTCCTCAGATCCCGCGCTTGAAAATTCTGGCTCAGCTCTGCTGCCTTTTGGAGAGCGGCCAATTAACACCAGCTGAGGCACTGGCTTGTGCCTGGGTTTTATTTTTTTTTTTTTATTAATGTTTTTATTGTTTTCCTTTTTAAAAATAAGCTTAATCTAATTTCGCTGCGAAATTATCGTGCATGAAGGAAGTGAAGTTGAGTGTTGCTGCCAATATCCTTGAGCAAAAGGGTAAATACAATGAGCTTTGATCTGTGGGAAGGATCATCTAAGCACACCAAACTTAGGAAAAAAAAGGCTTTTTCACCCAGATTTGTATATTTTGTGGCAAGATAATTTTTTCCTTTAAGCATTTCAGTTTGTTCTTGCAGCGAGTGTTTTTGGAGGAGGATCAACACAAACATTTCGCGAGAAGGTCACGAGTCACCAAACTGGGTTTAAGAACTTTGCTTTCCCATCTCACGGGAGGTTTTACAGCCCTCACTCTGACGGATCAGTGAGAAATTTAGATCTTCCAAATGTGGAGAAAGAAGCCTAAATTGCTTCATTCGGTGAAACCCCACCAGATGGAAGAAGATTATGAATCCACAAATGTTCCCTCTGCCCCTCTAGTGTCTCCAAAAAGGGATGGACCAGGACTGATGCCTGAAGCAAAGAGAGGAGAAGTTTTTGCTGCAAACCGGGAGCTCATCCCTTGATGGGCAGGAAGCAGATACTGATCAGCCTGGGGCTCTTTCTGTCTTTGAGTCTAACATTAACTGCTGCTGTTTTAACCAGCATTCGGTCCTGGATGGTCCCCTTTCTGCTTGCTTGCAAAACACACCCTCTCAACGTCTTCTGTAAGCACCAAACCTCGGGTGATCCCAAATGTGATCCTACTGCAGCCTGTGTTCACTGTTCTGACCAAAGGGCACCAGACTTCCCTTGTTGTCCAAGGAGAGAGCTGAGCATTGGAACGACATTGGAATATTGGAACAATTGTCCGTCTACTTTGGATATACCTCAGCAACTACTCGTCACCATCTAGTAGTGTCCAAGGACCTGCTCCTGCCTTGTGAGACGCAATGAGAGCCTTGAGCTGCTCCGTGATGGAAAGACATCAGAGCATGCTACCAAAAAGTGCAAAGAGAAGAGGCTGAGAGATCTGGTTTGTTCCTCTTGAAGAGATGGATATGGAGATGGACAAGGAGACATCTAAGGGCCATCTTTAACTGCCCAATGTATAGATACAGAGAAGGTGGAGTTCAGCCATGTAGAGCAAAATGTGGAGATGCAGCAGCCATGAACTGCAGCAAATGACACTCCAGCTAGGAATAACCAAAGAATTCTTCACAACAAAGCATGCTGAACACAGGAGCCCCTCAAGAGGTGGTGCATCTCCATGCTTGCACACAACCAAAACCCGATTGAAGGAGGCTTCAAGCAACCCATTCAAAACAGGTCCTGGTCTCAGCAGGGAATTGCACACTGGTGAAGTGGGGTTGGCAGAACCTCTTGTCACCATGAAGAGCTGGGACTCTGCAAGTGTAACACACTCCATGTGTGAGCCCGGCACCGCTGA